GGAGTTCGCCTGACCAAGAAAGTTGGTTAGCACTGAAGAAATGTATGTATATATGAAAAGAGGGGAGAAGAGAGAGAAGGGAGAAAACTTACCACCGTGGTGTGGGTAGCAACTCGGGCTCCGAGCTGAGCAGGGGTGAGATCGGCCCAGATTGCGACTTCCTCTGCGTAAACAGCCCCCTTGCTCTTCCGAAGGCTGCATTGGGTGACCAAGATACTTCGGGCCCCGTTTGGGCTCCCCGAGCTGGAAACCGCCGTCTCGGCTGTGCGGATGGGCTCGGCAGAGACCTCAGTTGCTGCGTCGACAGCCCCGGTGACGACCTTAGGCTCAGCTGCTGCCTTCGTAGCAGGCTCAGCCGAGGTCTCGAGCTCCCAAGGTGGTACGGACTCCTCCAAGTTGATGATTGAAGGAGCATTAGGGAGCTCGGGCTCAGAAGAGGGAGCCGGTGGAAGCTTGGGCTCGGGAGCGGGGGCCGGGGGGGACTCAACGCGAGCTCTCTTAGTAGCCCGCTTCTTCCTCCCCTTCATGTGGTTGAAGAGCTTATCCCCCTTGAGTTTCTCCGCTTCCATGGGACCTGCAACAAAGCTCGGCTTTAGTAGACTCAAAAGTAAAAGGAGGAAGAAGGTGCAAGCCAAGTGACTAAGGTACTAAGACTACCTACCCAGGCTCAAACTGGCCTGGATGAGCTTTCTCTCGGCGATATAATCCTTGTAACTAAACCCGAGCTCAGCCCACGACTGGAGCGTCTCCCTTGTCTTCTTATTAAGGATGATGCTGGGGACTTGGATAGCCGCCCTCCATTGAGTAGGGAAGGGCCACCCCGCGGGGTTTCGAACTACGAAATAGTCCTGCTTCCAAGCCGGAATTTTTCTCGGAAGCTTTTGCAGCAACTTGAAGCCCGGGCGAGGGGACAAGTAGTAGGCCCTCATGTGCTCGGGGAGAACGCATGAAGCACTCTTCTTTATGGTGAGGATGGATTAGAATATATCCAGGTTCAGGGGGAGGACGTACTCATAACAAAGGGAGATGGTCCCAACCACGTTATGGACCAAGTTCGGGTGGAGCTGGTCTATTGTAATGTTGAAGTGATTAAGGACCTCCACAATAAGTGGGTGGAAAGGAAGACGGAGCTCGGCTATAAGCTGCTCTTGGAAGATCACGACCTCGTCAGGGCCGTGTTCCCATGGGAAGTTACCCGTAGGTAGACTGTAGGTGTACTCCCTGGGCAGGTTGTGCTGTCGGATGAGGTAGCGAAGCCTCTCCAAGGTCATGGTGGAGGGGTCGAATCTGTTCGGCATCCGATCTCGGTGAGAGGTGGACGCCAAGTTACCCGAGGCCTCCCGCACCTCGGGAGACTGGACTCCAGCGAGATCACCCTGAGCCGAGGTACCCACCTCGGGCTCATCTAAATGGCTATCAAAACTAGACATAATAAAATTGGAAGGAAAAGAAGCTAGGGTGACTCACCAAAGGAAGATGACCGAATTAGGGAGAACTGCCCGAGCTGGAGGCTTTGGACGCGAGCTCAAGACTAAGGCTGAGGATTTGTGGCGAAGGAAAAATGGCCAGGACCCCTGCTATTTATAGCCACTGTATGCGGGCATCAACGGTTGAGATCAAAGCGATCCAACGGTCCTCGGTGCAAGGTAACTCAGCCCCAGGCGGATCTAGTGGCAACGCCCATGTCTCTCGCCAGGCAGCGTCGTGCCTGCCATCTCTGAAAAGCATGGCACGTCTGACGAGTCCGTACCCTGCAGCAGCAGCCTGCACCCGCCACCTCAGCCTTGGCAGTAACGGCTAGGGCAGTGGCGGTTATGCCTGATGTGACTAAGCTCCGGTATAAAAGGACCCCGGCCCTCGCGAAGCAAAGGTATTGAAGCTAGCACTTTCAACACTCTTAACTCCTCTATGTTTTCTTTGAGTTTTCTCAGAGCTCTAACTTAGCCATCGGAGTGTTCCCGCCGGGAGAGCTCCCCGGGAATCCTTCACGTTCCTCTCCGTTTCAGGTGCCGTCTGTCACAGCTAGGAGCCAGGTTTCAGCCATCTAGGAGTGCCCAGATTGTGCTGCATCACTAGTGTTGTATTTTTAGGATCTAGTCTTTGGATTCCACTTCCATTGTTTGGATGTATAAACAGAGTAAGAGGCTAATGGATTGACTGCAAAAGGTTTTTAGAAATTTACTTAAGAATGGGGATTTACACATATTTATATGAAAAAAGGGTGTCTAGACTGAAAAGCTTCACATGCGCATGGGCAGAGAGAGGGGGGGGGAGGGGAGGGAGGCTGTACAACAATGGTGGCCATGCATATTATTTGGTCCTTACCTCGCTTGTTACCAAAATGGGCTTGCAAAGCATATTTTGTATGTGCCTCACCTAATTCTGGGTGCTTCTTACCCGGCATGTTGCAAACTTGCAATGTTTTGATGAATGAACTTTGAATTTGATGTTGGATAGATAATTTTCTATATTGTAGGTTGATCCTGTGATATTTAGTGTTTTGGCAGTTTAACCCATGTAGGACTTGAGTGTACAAGAATAAATCCTTGTATTGATAACATGATGCTCTAACCAGTTTAGATAATATGTTTTATTAAATATTGTCTCTCAATATTTGCATATTCTTTTGTATTTAGTTTTTCACTTGATTTTTTCTTTCAAAAGTGGCAGCTCACTTCATTCAGGCATGCACCTTTCCTCACACCTTTGGCTCTAGGAATCCCTTCTGCTTTAGGTTGTCGTGCTTAGATAAGCTTCAGCATTTGTGCTTTTAATGCCCCAATTTCAGGCACTGTTTTTTGGGCTTAAAAGTGTTTTGTACTTTAGATTATGTTTTTAATAGAAACACTTACCAAACACTTAAAACATTTTTTGTCACATATTTGTTTACCACAGCCTAAAGCTCAAAAGTAGAAGCTTATCAAACGTTGCCTTAGTTGTCTTCTCACTTTGCCAGGGCATGCACCAATTTTTGGTTTGTGGTTTTACAAAGGGAGGGGTAGCTGTAGAATTTGTGACACAAAGAACAAGGGGATTTGCCCTTTGTGCCTGAGTAGTCGGGCAGAAGTTGTGGTGCATCTCTAGTGATTGCTGCTGTGGGTTTTTGTGAGACCATGTGCCTAGTTGGCACAGGTGGAGTAGTTGAAGCACAAATAATTGTGACCTTTTGCACTTTTTTAATGGTTTTGCTAATAAACTATTGCTTACTTATTCATAGTCTTAGTGTGCCCCTAATGCTCTTCTCAGAAAATAATTTTTATACCATTGCTGAGTGTTGTTTATTCAGTGCAAACGTGCAGAGGATTTTCTGATTTGGTCATCTTAGCTAACAGCCAAACCCCTCTTTGTCAATGTGAGATTTGAAAGATGCTACTCTTCTTAACTTAATGGAATCTGATAGGCATGGAGGTTTTCTTATCTATTCATAGTGTTAATATCTCTTCGTTCTCTTTTACCTTCATTGTTTCTACGACGAGGATTTAGCTATGTAAATGCAACTTGTACCAATATCCCCCTCTTTTTCCTTCTGAATGCTTGTTAGGATTACATCTCATTGTGCCGGGATAAGAGATTGGGGTCGGTAAGAAGCCAGTGGTAATTGTAGAGAAAGAAATTATATAACGAAGAGAAGGAGCGAAGAGGGAGCAGGAGCCTTGGCATCGGATTTGATTTGGCATTAAGTTCTTTGACAATTCTGTAATGTGGAAACAGAGCTTCCAGTTCCAGCACATGAAGTTGACTTTTCTGGTTTTTTATTTATTTTGACATCAACGAGTCTCTTTCCTCTGTTATCAGTCTTTTCTGAGCGGTGTCATTTACTGTGGAAGAGTTAAATTTCTAAACTCCTGATGAATGGATGTTGAACAATGCTTTTTTACTTGCATTTCTGAGCATGATCATTGGATACCCAGTGGGCTATGGTGTACTGGGCTTTGACTTGTAGACCGGTGTGAGTCTCCCGTGGATATGGATGGGTGGATAAGCATACATGCCCATGCACATGAACGAATATGCTATCATCCGTAGGTGCACGCTAAGCCACTCAGAAGAACTGCTCGTTCTCGCATCCCCAATGGAATCCATCCTTTTGGGATATAATTATAGGAGTGGTCGGCCACGTGAAATGTACGTGCAAAGTGGGTTTTGATTTTTGAACAGGTCGGGTGTGGATGTGGTTTTATCGGCCAATCCCTCTGGAGTTTGAAAGGAGCCTCGGTCAATGCGACCATGTTCCTCTTTTAAAATAACACTAATGATCATAAACTCAGAATATATTAAAATAGCATGGTGCATGTGAGTCTGTTGGTTGTTTGACATCTCAATCGGATATTGCTTCTCTAGTACCTACGTTTTCTTTTAAGATTCATGCAAATATGGAGCGGGTAAAATGTTTCTTATTAGATAAAATAGAAAACCAGGTGGACCCGTTGGATAACTAGCCCGATTAGATAACAAGGCTGCATTCGACTTCGACATGCTTTCACGGAATTAGTTCTGATACACTTTTCAGTTTGCCTATGATACGATGGTTGAGATGGTCCGTTGGATCAAAAGAATGCACAAAAATTGCTGGATCCAATTCCTGTTTGGGGCTCAAAATACAGTCTGACAAAGGGGTTTTTATTGTTCAGTCGACCTCTAAAAATCTTAGCTCCACTTTCACCGTACAGGTGGGATAAATCCTGACCTGGGATGAATCCTGACCATGAATAATATCAAATCTATGGACAGGATGTGGTTTATAGGGGGTTATTAATAGATTAGGAGGGGAATGTAATTATAGATTTTTGAGGTTGAGTGTGATCTAAAAATTATTTTTTTGAAACTCAAAAATCTTACATAAAAAAGTTTTTTTTAAAGCTTAAAACTCATTTATTGGCGTAGAGTTTTTAACCCAAAAGGAACAAGGAAAGCCTGGGGAGCCCTCGCTGAAAGATGGCGTCCTCCAACCTACACTAAATGAGGAAAGGGTTAAGGAGAGGCAGGTGAGAGGACGGAGCGAATGGCAAGTGGGTTAGAGGCTGTAGAGGTTGGAGAATGTTGTTGCTTCGACGTCGTTAAATCATATGTAGTTAGGTACGTACATTTTGGCATCAGGAATGCAATTTGCATGCTACTGTCTGCACTCTGCAGATAGGATAAGACCCTAGGGGTCATATCATTGCAGTCATTGCAGTTGGAAAGTAGAGCTTTATTACACTTTACTTTGCCCTGACAGCATCACCAGTTTTCCTTCAAGAATGAGACATGAGACTATGAGAGACGTCATTCCTCCTTCCCCTCACCCACCCAGGATCCTTATATATATGGGTACCCGTTTCATTGCTTTCATTATTATTATTATGCAAGTCATAATGGCATATGATGACATGTTTAACTGTCATACATGATACATGGATGTGTGCATGCATGAGTGTTGTATCATCACTACTCCATCAGTTCGCAAAATTATAATAAGTTAAAAACCGAACGGCATTTCATGTAAATGCTGGTGGAGGAGCATGTGATCGATCACCGCAGTATTCGCTTTCATCTGACGAAATTATACAAGTAAACAATAAACAATAAAAACAAATAAAATAAAAGAATTAAATGGAGATGTAGGCTTTCAGTAAAGAATATTGGGTAATCGAGTCAATCAATCAATCACCGAGGCAGGGGAAGGACTATTAATTTAATTAAAGAATGGGAAGAGGGCCCTATGGATTAGCGATGTCTAGGATCACGCCGACAGTCATATCGGATTTGGACTACGTACCCCCCCATGTGCCCGGCTTAATAACATATGCATGGCACCCCTCACCCCTCACCCCCTCCCACCCACGTGTGGGCCCCCGTCTTCTACTCATTTCCGTGCAAAAGATACTAACGTTTACCGGATTTCAATAAAGGTGTAGCCGTAACAGAAAACGATGTACATATTCCTTCAAGCTATCACCATTTCCGTGCAAAAGATACTAACGTTTACCGGAATTAGTTCTTTGGTTACGTGCCAATGTGTACATATTCCTTCAAGCTATCACCATTATTATTACAACAACAACAATAAGGGAAGCGACGGGTCCATTTCATCATACTACTACTCCACATGCATCTCAATCTGGATCGTCCAAACAGTGGGCCCCCGTGTAGAACGACCTTGAAGTTTCAACACCAGTGGTATTCCGGAAAAATCCATCTGGGTCATATTCCAATCAAGCTGGTTTCGGGTCCAAGACGTACAATATGCTTTCTTCAAGTGGGCAAGCTGTGCTGAGAAAGAGCCCATGAGCTTACAGTTTACTAAACGCCAATTTTAACCAAGGAAGGTACAAAGAGAGGCTACACTCCTAAACAAACAGGTTTCTGATTGGACATTTCTTCTGAATCTGCCCTGAATAGGAATAGTTATAGAGGAGTAAGAGACTTTATAAAACGCCATATTTAATTTCCCTATGATTTTCTTTCTTATACTACCTATAAGTATAACAAGTATAAATTTCTCCAAGTAAAGAAGAACTAATAAAAAACGCTAAAAAAATAAAAAACAATTCTTTAAAATGGAAAAAAAAAATGTTGCGGAATTTGTCGAAATCGGCCGAAATGGGCCAAAAAATGATAAAGAGAACCAAGAAATTACAGTCCAGCAGCATATTTGAATGATCTTCCTTCTCCCTCCAATTTCTTTTTTTTTCTTAGTAAATTTGCGGTAGAAAAAAAGAGCCTACGAAGTTTAAAAGTTAGGAAGAAAATCAGAACTCTTACAACGAGGAAAATTAGAAAATTACGGAAATTCTCTAGAGAATCTCGTCTGCTAAAACCGTCGGAGCTCCACAAGAGTAAGTTGACTAAACCATGCTCGCAATCAGATTAACTGCCTGAAATCGGGCCCGGCATGATGATGGATCAAGTAATCCTCCCCGCTGGATACGTCGAAAACTGGGTTAGCGTGCAAGAATTGTTGCTGCTGAGCCCTCTGCAACTCCTTCTGCCGTCGAAGCTCCATGACTTTTCTGTGGGAATTCGAGTGTTTCGTGAGCACAAATGTGGGGCTCGCTGCGGGACGGTACTCCGGTACGAGTCGCCCGGACTTGTAGCGGACCCCGCATGCATTGCAAAGCGTCTTTGGGCCCATGGGCCCCGTCCGCCACTGCGGAGTCTTGTCGGTGGCACAATGCAGGCACTTCCTGCCCTCCCCATTGCCACTTGCATTATCCGAACTTTCCCTCTTCTTTGGTGCCCCCTTAGTAGTTTTCTTGCCGGAGTTTGATGCGACGTCAGATTCCGATGAGGATGTCGTCGGTGACAGTACGAGCAGTCGCGAAGACCAGTCGCAGGGAGCAGCTCGAGAACGCTTGCTTCTCGCTTTCCCGGGAACTGAAATCTCCGGCCGAAACATCGGATTGTTTCTGTTGTTCTCTGGCTGGAATTCTCGAGTTTCGGACACCTCGTCGGTGCGCGCTTTCATCCCTGAAATCAGTTGCAGCTTCTGCAAGTCCTCGCTCGAGAACGATTCCTCCACGAAATTCGAAAGCCATTCGAGCTCAGCTAAGTCGTCGTACTGTAAAGCAATTTCAAAATATTAAAACTAAATCCAACCAAATGCTTCTAATTCTCGAAAAATTTGAATGGAGACGCGTTTTTAAATTGTTAAAGCATCGGTTTGTCGTAAAACAAACAAACTTAATTGCAGCCATTAAAACTTGAAAAACATCGTGAAAGCTCATTAAAATTCTTAACACATTATCGGACAAAAATCTTCCTTAATTTTCATTCATAGAGTTCTCAGGAGAAGAAAAAAAAATTGAGTTGAAACCATGCCAATTTGCACAGGTTTCTTTTTATCGACCTTTTAAATAGTTTTCTGAAAATGTTTATCCTACGAGAAAATGGCGATCAAGGAATCAGTACCAGAGTACCAGGAAAAAGAAAAAGAGAAAATACGGCTTGGCATTTCAAATTCAAAATTACCGGCACACAGAGGTCTCCGGAGAATTGAGCATCAGGAAAACTCCTGCAACCAAAGTCGCCGGAAAAATGCGGGTCAGAACCTGAAAATGAGGAATTGCAGCTATCAAGGACAGTGACGGTCGACGAGTCAGTTGAATTTCCCGTAATGTCGAACGTCCCGTCGGTGATGACGGCGTCTTCATTGGAGAAGTCTAGGAGGTCGTCGATAATGAAATGGTCACCGGGCTTAGGATCAGAATGACGTTTTTCAGGCGTGAATTGAGGATTTCCCGGACGGTAGTAGCCGCCATGGAAGAATTCCGGTGCTTCCATTGATGTCGTTTAGGGCAAATTTAGGGTTTGTTTCCGCTTTCCGGTAGGAGTGAGCGTAAGAGAAGGAAAGAGGAGAGAGACAGAGAGAGTGGGGGAGAGATGGGAGAGTAGGGTTTATTTGTGTTTGAAGCTGACAGGCAGACAGCTAAATTGAGGATTTTGACGAGTAAAAAGAAGCAACCAGAAAAAAAAATGTTAAAAAAAAACAATTAAAGCATCTTTACCTGCCTTGAAAATTAAATAAATTTCAGGTGCCAAAGTTTTTCAACCCATCCTTGCTTTCCTGATAATTACGCTAATACCCTCCTTTGCCACAACAAGTTAACTGTTTCTTGCATCCATGTAGTAACCGGAAAACATGAAACCTTTCAAGCATTCTTTTGTGACAGTTCTCTTCAAGACAAGGCTCATTCCTGAATGTCTTTATTGCCCCGGTTAACTCTCCTAAAATCGTAATATTTACAGGGAAGTCGTTGGCCTTTTTAGTCTATTTCCCATGCAAGGGCAATTCCGACACTCATAAAATACGTTAAGTGGGTAGACGGTTTCTGCATCGGTAGTGCATGGGCGTGAGGGTAGATATGTAATTCACAGGAATAAATTCGTGACTAAATCAAGTAGAATTAATTAAAATTATAATAAATTAAGTGTTCAATTCAACTCCTTAGGAACCGATCTAGCAGGTTTGTCGCTGTGACTCGTGCAATAGCGTCCAAGTTTACAGCCGGATTCCTCTGCTTTATTTTTTCCTCGGGAATTGCGTTATTTTTTTCTCTTTTCTTTTTTGCCTCTCTGAAATTTTCCTTTTTTATATTAATTTTCTACCCTTATTTTGCCCTTTATTAAATTCTTAACCCACGTTTAAGCACGACGGTTACAGCTCAACTAGATCACATCGACGTTTCTTAGCCAACCATGTGTAATTCTATCATAAGCCCTGCCAGTTCGGTCTTCGCTTTTCACCTTCTCCTCGCCACGTAGGAGAGAGAACGGGTCTATGGTTGGATATCGGCTTCTTTTCCACGTGGCAAATGAGAGCTGTTCCATATGGGGCCCAGTCTGAACTCTACCAATCCCGAGGTGAATCGACGTTGGGGAACGTGATAAGACGCGTACAACGTTATCTACCGGTTTAGGCTCTTCAGTCCTTTGGGATGGTTTTCTATTTTTTTTTTTTTCTTTTACTTTTTTTTACTTTTATGCTTGAATTAAAAGGAAAGACTGAAAAAGAGAGGGCACCGGGGTCGTTGCTTGGCGTGGAGTTTTATTTTTATCAGAGGTTTTTGTTCTTTTCATAATATTTTAATAATTTATTTTGGTCTTGTGGGGCCTCCATAGCACGTGATAGAGCTGGAGGAGGTGTCAGCGGCCATGTGAGTGCTACGCTCGTGTCAAAAGCCAATAGTGACGGTGGTCAATGCCACGTGGCGAGTATCATTAGAGTAGCACTGTTATCCTTGTTGCTTCCCGCACGTGCTCTAACCTTTAATGCTTACGTTAACGTGATTGCACGTGCCTCCATGTCACGTGCGTCTCAAGCACGTCACGTGCATTTCTTGTGTGAGTTGTGACATATCATATCCTAAACAAGGTACCTTTTTTTTTGGTCGATGATTTGCCAAACAATGGGCCATTTGCTTTCGTGGTAGTCACACTCGCTTGTCACCAAACCTTTTCTAAGTGGGAGGTCCTACTGCTGAAATCACACAAGTGAGGATTAAAGAGGTCCTTAAATCATAGGACAGAACTTAAAACAACTTTACGCTTTATCTCCTCTATGTGCACAAAAATCCCCATTTAGGCATTTAAATTTGATCGTTTTGTAGTTTGAATACCTTAGACTTAGGTTATGTTTGGTAAATTGTACCAATGTTGTTTTCTCATGCAATGGCCACGGCTTGGAATTCAGTAAAGTTGTTTAGGGTTTTATGCACATTTTATATTGACATTTGGTGTTAATTAGGTGTCACACAGGCAAAAAGATGAAGAATATTATTCCCATTATTGCATGAAATGTCGAAACAATGTTTTCTCGAGAGTAGTTCTCACATAACCCAAGACAATTAGGCCCCGTTTGGCATCACTTCTTCGAAATGGGATGAAAAAACCCCTTTGCCAATTTGATTCATTAGAGTGAAAAAAATCGGATTCTCTGAATGAGAATTCTCGTTCGAATTCATTTTTGTGATGCCCTTTAAAAAATGAACACGTGTTACTAGAGTCACACGTGATAGTGAGGGTACAATGGTAATTGCAAACATCTTTAGCCTAAAACCCTTGTTCTCTTCACATTTTGCCTTGCATCTTCTTGCAAGTTGCAATGGCTCTCTCCATCCCTCTCTAGTGCGTCGACATCATCTTCCTCATACTCTATCTCAAATATTATTTCAACCATATTTGTTTTCTCCACATCATCTTCCTCATACGACATCTTATTGCAAGTTGCAACGACTATCTCCATTGTTTTTTTTTCTTTTCTTCTCAGTCTGAGAATCCTTTTAGTCGTTCTTTCTCCACTGGTCATCTCCAGCACCGTCGTCACTCTCTCAATTCACATGTATGAAACTCTTGATCCTAATAAATTATATTGTTGGTGCATGGGCTTGTTATAGATGCATCTACAAAATGATAAATTGATTGTTTGATTCTCTCTATTTCGTTCTCTCTTGATCATAAAGAATTGATTGTTGCTCACAGATTGTTGCTCACGGATGGTGATGTTGTATGTAGCAGTTAAAAACTTTTTTAGTTCAAGTCCTTGTATTGTGTCCTGTAATTTGTTCTTTTCTTTTCTTTTTTCTTTTTTATTTTTTGGGGTACCAGATCCAGTAATCTATCTTAACTTGTATGGAAATCTGACAAAGAACATGTCAACCTAAGACTTTTTTTACCCATCTCTCATTCCAATAGTTTTGGAATGCAGGAAATTTCTCCCTCTATATTAATATAAATTTGTCTTGTATGTTGCTGATAAAAAATAAAAAACAATATAGAAGAGGTGAATAACGATTCTGAGAAGTTGTTTCTTGATGTTTATACAAGCATGTAATGGTTCTCCAGAAAATGATCTAATAAGGAAGGACTTGGGCTCTATGAAGAAATGAAACGTAAGTGGACTCTTCCTATTGTTTATACTTACAAATTGATGATCGATGCATATTACTAGGAATATATTTTGTATAAAGTTTTTGGATTGTATTGGTGAAAAAATAAGGATTTTGAATGATTTGGTAAAAAAATACAAGAGAGATATTGCATATAAGGATTTTGAATGATTTGGTAAAATTCAGCTTCAATAAACCTTTCAGAAGTTAGAACCAGATGGGCCTGCTGAATCTCTTGGTCAGACCGGGAGGGGAGGGGATCATCTCAGTTACCATCTATCCAATTGCCATGACTGATGACCTAATGGGTGGGTATTAATTACTTCTTCAAAATTTATTCAACTAGTTATTAATTGATCTCTCTCTCTCACACACACACACATAATTCATGTCAACCTGGATGGGTAATGAAAGTTTTGAATCATATAACCCAACTGACTGAATGATCTCAATTCTCAACCATACTATGATGAATTCTATGTCTTTTTTTTATTCTTCAATCCCATATCCTAAACGGCTCAATCATAAGAAGAAAACAAGAAAGATTAGGATTCAAAATTACTAGATAGCAGTCCTACTTCCATGTTTTGGAATTATGAGTGCTAATAAGTAGGTCCAATATCCTTTTAAACTTATTCAGAATTAGGATTCAAAATTACTAGGTAGCAAACTACTTGTCATTGTACCTTCTTGGTTTCTCGGGGTACCTCAATAGCTGCTGCAAGGTTATTAGAGGTCCGGCTTAACATACATGATGTAAATATTGTTAGAACATAATTATTTAACAAAAGCTTTTACACAGTAATGAACACAACCAAAGATGCCTTGGGGGGAGAAGTAAAGATATTCTGAAATATATTGTTCTCCTTTGTTTCCCATCAAATCAGTTGCCTTTAGACAAGCTTTTAAACTCATAGACAAGCTTCAAGTTTCATTTTTAACATTGGGAACATTTTGTTTAACAATGTATACCATGGATATTTTCTTATCAATATTGTAGTAGAAATAGATGGCATCTTCTCAAAGGGTAAGCAAGTGGCTACAATTGAGAGTAGGGAGGCCAGGCACATAAAGATCGAAAAATGGACAATTAGAGATGAAATGGCTTTCATTGAGTTGATGGCAGAGCAAGTTAAGAAGGGAACTAGAACCACTACCACATTTAGCAAGGTTGGTTGGGTAGAGATCAGGAAGGAGCTTTTGAAAAGGACTGGAAATGATTACACATATCTCTAATTCAAAAACAAGTTCAACAAGTTAAACACAGTATATGGGGATTTTAAAGCATTACTGACCTAAACTGGATTTGGTTATGATTATTTGTAATTAAGGTTATTGTGATTGTGGATCCCAAGAGAATCCAGGTGCCAGGAATTTTCGACGTAATGGGTGTTCACTATGGCCTGAACTAAGAGATATATATGGAGATACCACTGCCACTGGTGATGCGGCCTTTTCCAACTTTCAGGATGATGAAGTTGCAGATGTGGTTGTTAGTGGAGAGAGTTCATTTGATGGAGTTGTTGGCCTTGATAGTGTGCCACTAACACTTGCAGAAGTGATGGATGCAAGCCTTCCTAGGTTTACTAATGCTTTGAACAAAGACAAAGAAGAAATGGTTGGTGCTCATAGTAAGAAGGCAGGTACTTCGAAGGATCGTAAGCGAAAGAATTCTAGTAGTAAGTTGTTTGTGGAGGCTTGCAGAGCAATTACCGAAAACTCTAGAATGAGGTCATCATCCATCACAACTGGTGCTTCATCGGCTTCAGATCCTTTCTCAATCAGCAAATGTGTGGAAATCATAACTACTATGCAAGGCATGAACAGGAAGAAGTTAAGGAAATTAGCATCCCTAATGCAAGACTGTAGATGGAGAGAGATATTCATCAAACTACCTAATGAGATGAGGAGATGGTTGTTAATATGAATCCACATAATGCTAATGATGATGACTGGGATGGTATTTGTTTTGATTTCATGGCTCTTGGAATGTTACATGAATATTACTTGAAATATATGGTAAAAGAACCAAAAGGCACAAACATAGATAGGGGATCAAGATACTTGTGTGAGGTTCTTTAAGGACACCATGGGAGGTGCCAAGATGTTTTCTGAATGGATACACATGTGTTTAAAAATTTGTGTAGGACTCTTAGAGTGAGAGGATTATTAAAAGATTTGAAGTTTGAGAGTGTGGAGGAGCAAGTAGGTATTTTTTTCAACTATAATGTGTCACAACCAATCAAATAGAATGGTTGCAAAATTTTGGCAACATTCTAGGGAGATGATCCATTGACACTTCATGACAGTTTTAAAGGCAATTGTTGTGTTAGGGCAGATATCATTTGCCCACCACCTACATGGGACATTCTTGTGGAGATTAACTCAAACCCATATTATAACCATATTTCAAGGTATTTGTATTGTCATTGCACCTATATTCAAAGGTATTTCTATTGTCATTAAGGTGCACTAAATTCTGGTGTTTATATTTTTTTTTTAGGATTGTGTCAGTGCCCTTGATGGCACCCATATCAGTGTCTCTATTTCTGCAGACAAGCAAATACCATATCATGGTAGAAAAATTACAACTACTCAAAATGTGATGTGTGTACGTAGTTTTGACATGCACTTCACGTTTGTTTATGCTAGGTGGGAAGGATTTTTAATGATTCTAGGGTATTCTCTAAGGCATTAAATAGGCTAGGGGTTGGCTTCCCTGCCCACCTCCTAATAAGTTCCATACAATTTTATATAATATAATGTGTGTTAAATTGGTAAGTGTTAATGGTGTTTATTGGAATACAGGTAAATACTACTTGATAGATTCTAGATATGCTAGTTTTCTAGGATTCTTGTCACCTGTACACGGCGAACGATACCATCTATCCGATTTCAAGCAAACAAGGCGACCAAGGGATGCACAAGAGAAATTTAATCAAGTACATTCCTCCCTTCGTACTGTAATTGAACGATGTTTTGGAGTTTTGGAAACGAGATTCCCAATTTTGAAACAAATGCCATCATTTTCTATCAATACACAATGCCAGATTGTGATCACAAGTTGTACTATACATAACTTTATAAGAAGCGAAATCATGAATAACAATCACTCTGACGATTTGTTTGATACAATTGGAGATGAAAATGTTGAAGTAGATGATGATAGTGACGAGGATAATAATGATGGTGGAGGCAATGGACAAAATGATGAGTTGGAAGATATGACTGTAGTTAGACGTAACATTGCTAACCAGTTAGCACTAGATTATGGGTATCAACAAATATAAAATGTTTTTGGGTTTAGTGTTAAGTCCATCATGAAGTCAAAAACTCTTGTTTGAATTTTCTATTTGTTGTAATTTAAAACTTATATATATATATATATATATACTTTTTTTTGCAAATCATATGCCTGTGTTCATGTATACATAAATTCTTTTGAAGACAAACAAGGTAAAATACAAGGACCAATTTGTTCATGTGGGAGAGGAAGAATGTTGTAATTGATGGCCAAGGCTGAAAGAAACTATGGTCGTTAGTTTTACAAATGCCCATCTAGAGTAGTATTGTTATGCTTACGTTGAACCAATGGTATTTATTAGTGAGATATGTATTGATTATAGCATATTTCACATGTAGGCACATCGAAATGATTTCAGTTGGGTTAATCAATATATGCCTAAAGAATAAGTCATCGTACACGATGAAGTGCAACAAACCAGCCTCCATGGAGGAATCGGATTTTTGTAATCACTGCGTGCGAATGTTGCATGATTATGACTTGTTGGGCATTTTTTTATTAATCATATGTATCATTTTAATTTTAAAATTAAATGTGTGAACACGTGAACCTCTCTCCTTTTTTTCTTATATGTATTTGACAATGATGTAAACGTAATAGAGTATAGGGTAATTCCATTTGAACTTATATTTATTAAAGTTTGCATCATTTTGTCTATCAAAGAATTGATTCAAAGAAATTGGTTGCTGCCAAACGTGATTCTATTTATGAGAAACAAGAATCGGATGATTGTGCCAATTAGGACTACAGTGATTCTCAGGATGAAATTTCTTAGAATTCATCATTTTCAAAAAGGATTTTGAGAATGAGATTCTCTAGAGTGATGCCAAACGGGGCCTTAAATCAATTTGAAAATGTTCAACCAAACAGAGAAAAAGTGAAAAGGAAAACAAAACACGTGCATAGCTTTGACATGCTAATGAAACAACTATAATACCAAACACCTACTTAGTGGTCACGATTTGATGTTGTCGGGACTGTCCTAGGTGCTACTGTACAAACAATCAAGGGTGCAAGTCACGGAGGTAGGTTGGTTGGGTTCGGGTCTATGTCCAACGCTAAGGATATATTAAATTGGCAACATAGCTATAGCCCAAAATCTAATACCTACAGTTATTTTGTTTTTTCAAGATAAACAAGAATATGATACCACCTAATAACTAAAGGACCTCGGGACACTAGGGGTGCAAGTCAAGTGGGTTGGGGCCGAGTTTACGGCCAACCAGGCCCAAGCCCAGACAGAGTCTAAGATCAAGTCCAATCTTTTTAATCCAAGCCTGCCTACATTGTAATTTGATGAACTTGGGTTGGTTTTGGCGCAGGCCAGGTTTGGGGTTGGTCAATGAACCTACTCTAAAATTATATATATGTACAAATATGTATGTATATATGTAAATACTAGTGGGACCCGTGCAATGCATGGGCTTTGTTAAGCAAAAGTTAAACAATAGAAATACATAAGAGTATCTAATTGTTTTATAGTTTAAATTTTTAGTAACCAATTCGATAGAACTCCACCCGAGTTGGTCGATTTTCTAGTATTTTCGATCAGCTTTGGTTCAATAACTTTCTAACCCGACCAAGTTAGGTTATTTTCGGTTTGGCCATTTGTAAACCAACCAAAACTGAATGGACCCAACCATATTTCTTAGTCTAAAATATTTTATATCATAAATTTAATTCTTTTTTAATTTATTTTTAATAATACCACTACAATTTATTAAATTTAAATTCCATTTTCAAGCTTAAATATTTTGAACAAACAAACCAAACTGAAAATAGACCCAAACCGATACAACTCAAGTTGGCAGATTTTCACTAATGGCCACTCAGTTTTGGATGACAAACTCCCGACTTGACTAAATCGATATGGTAGGCAAAACAACCTACAACCAAACTGAACCAATCCTTGAACACTTCTAATTTTAGCTAAATTAATTGTTTAATCTCCAACACAATTGAAAATTTATAGCAAAAATACATAATTATTGAAAATGATTTTATAATGAAAATATAATAATTACAAAAATACAATAAACACTAAAAATATATTAAATTAGTCAATAAACATTATAATCTCTAATAAATATTAATCAATAAATTATAAAAAATACATATTTACGAAAAATAAATTTATAACTAAAACACAATAAATTAAATTTCAAAAGTTAAATAATAGTTGTTCAATCTCCAATAATTATTGACAATTTTCTGTTAAATAACAAAACAAAAATAGATTTATAAATAATTATTGAAAATATATTTGATGAAGGGGAATTTAGACCTCTAGTGACATCATGCTATGTGGCACTTCCGAACCGTTGCTTAACACCTCAGCACCATGTAGGCAATGACCTACCCTAGACCAGATGATAGGGTCCACCTCGCAACCACCAATTATGCACCTTACACACATCGCGCACACCGTGAGAGCATACCGACGCCACCTCGACAAGGTTGATCTATAGGCACCTCAGCATAAGGGGCGACCTCCCGCCGAGGTCTCATCGGCTTGGTTGAGGTTCAATTGGCAACCTGCCTAACGTGGCGACTGACCTCTCCTATGTGCGTCTTATCGTCTCTAAATCATCTGGGATCATGTCGCCTCACCATTGGAGCTGGCTCCCGCACTACCCGCTTCGAAGGTAACCAAATAAGCACAATCACTTTTCATGGAGCTGGCTCAGTTAGGCGACCTAGTCAGCCTGACATCCGAGTTGTCCTCTAGTAGGGAACTTCAAATCGTGCACCATCAATATTTATCAAAAAATACAATAAATATTAATTTTAGTACACATAAATATACATAATGAATATAAACTACTATCGTAAAATTATTACTAACAAATATTATTTATTTGAAAATTATTTTCTAGAATTATTATTTGATATAAGTGAAATTAGTTATTTAGAATATTATTTAGTTATTTAAATATTATTGTTATTTAAAATTTTAAAATATTAATTATTTATTCAATTTAATAATCTATAAAATTAAAATTAGTACTAATTCGTTATAAATTTTGTAAAAATTATTAAATATTTCATAATTTAAATATTTGAATAATATGTAAAATATTTAAAATTTTTCATTATTTGAATTTTATTTATTTTAAATTTACTATGTAATATTAAACATTTTGTTATATAATTATTTATCTATTTTTAATGTTTTGTTATTTAAGATTTAGTTGTTGAAATATTTAAATAATTTTTATTTTTTAATGTTATTTTTTATTATTTGAATAACATTTAAATTGAATAATTTGTAAAATTATAATTTATATTGTTACTACATAATTTCATGATGAATTTTGTAAAAATATAGAATTATTAATAATATGAATACTATTAAATCTATTATAATTAACTTTTGTGTTTTGAATAAATATTTTAAAGTTAGTATATAATTTCATTATAATACTTAAATAATTCTGAATTTTTTTAATTGGCACTTTCTTTAGATAGATGTAGATAAAAATGGGGGAGAGGATAAACAAGAATTAGAGATAGTTTAAGTGATAAATAGGTGTTAGAGATAATTTAGGAGATAAATAGGAATTAGCTAAACATTAGAAAAGCAAATCGCTATTTCTTTATGGTTGTTAGAAATAGTTAAGCCTATATTATTTGCTTATTGGAGCAAGGAGAGGCATGGTGGTGTGGACCGTATTGCTCTCTCTCTCTCTCTCTCTATATATATATATGTATGTATGTATGTATGTATGTATGTATGTATGTATGTATGTATGTATGTATGTATGTATAGAGAGAGAGATGTATGTATGTATGTATGTATGTATGTATGTATGTATGTATGTATGTATGTATGTATGTATGTATGTATGTATGTATGTATGTATGTATGTATNGTATGTATGTATGTATGTATGTATGTATGTATGTATGTATGTATGTATGTATGTATGTATGTATGTATGTATGTATGTATGTATGTATAGATAGATAGATCTATGCATCTATGTAAATACATATCCATATATGTATGTACAAATGACAAATGTGTATAATTTGGCTAGGCTTGTTATGGAACAAGATCAGGCTAGGGCTGGCTTATATTTGGGCTACCTAAGGGCTACGCCCTGGCCCAGTCTGAAAAATAAAAAACCTGAATTTTTATTACCGGACCCAGCCAAAAGATTGAAAATCCAATCCCAGACCATATAAATTTTAGGTTAGATCAATTTGGGCTTGGATTAGACCCGCCAAAGTTGCACCCCTAAGGCTCAGTTTGGTAGGAGTACAAATGCAAATATATATATATATATATATATATATAGTGCAAAATCTTGTATTTTGAACTATTTTGTATGTATTTACACTATATATTTATATTTGTACTCTTACCAAACGCAGACTATGGTACACTTGAGGGGTCTACTGTTCGTAATAAATTAAATAGAATTTTATACATAATATGACGAACAGAAAATTTGAGCCTTTCACACATGGACCTAACCTTTGGCACTTGAAGAGAAAAAAAAAAATTAAAATTTTAGCATTTTTTTCACATAAATTGGCTGCTCAAAGACTATCCAATATTCTCATATTTGTTAGCGTGAGATTTATCATTGCACAAGCAATATAATGGCCTCTTTTAAAAATGTCATGAGAACATAAATACGAATTTGCTAAACTATTTAACCAAATAAAGAGACCGAGCATTGTAAGTCCTGCAATCGCATTAAACCACATCTTATATTGATAATCAAGTTTTCTGGTTGATGGTAATAAAACTCAATGACTACCAAAATGTGCTCCCCCCCGCCCCTTTCATGGCCAAGTAGGGTTGCCAATGGCTTGAGTCTGAGTCAGGTAATCTCGAACCGTTTATTCATTCAGACAAAAGCCCAGATTTAAACCACTTTTGGTTAATAATCAAGTCTATCGGGTCTCAACACATATATTAATAAACATTTAAAAGGCGAATTGGGATTTATTCCTTACAGTTACATCCCACCATGT